TCATAACAGCCCCACTTTACAGTTGCAGAAGCTGAGACTCCAGGACGAACATGCTTGCCCAAGGTCATATCGTTAGTTTGTTAGTTTGTGACAAACCAAGATAAAAAGCAGCCAGGCAATTTGGCTTTAGAGACCTGGCTCCTACTCACTGGACTCAGCGGCCATTCAGTGCGTGGAATTGATTGGCTGTGTGGGAGATTGGGGGGAGGGGCGCGGGGCTGGTGAAGCTCCTGTTTCTACCTTGTGAGGCTGGATGAATGGTGTGCCCTTAGCCCCTGGCAGGGAATTCGGGAGAATGGACGTGTGTTTGGGGCCCCTATTTATTATGCCCGGGGTGGTTCTCTTCCACCCCTGTAGCTTTTGTGCTTCTCCTTGCAGAGCCATCCTATACAGTTGTGCAGGTTGCTCACCATCCAAATCTAGGGGTACCCTTCACTTACTGTCCATATCAGTCTGTTTAGATGGCTCCCCGGGAGGTATGTCATTCCCAAACTTTGCAGTTGTGTGAGGTGGTCCAGTGTTAGGGCCCACCTGTGTTCCAACGTTTATGTAGTTATTTGCATTCTCTCTCTGTTTCTGCCAGATTGATAGCTGCACCAGGAGAGGAGAGTCCCAGCTCCTGTGTCACCTAAACCCCTGTTATGCCTTTCGTGTACTTAATGCTTGATATCTCTTTGTTGCATGTTTCTTCATTCAACTCATTTTTGGGTTTGTGGATGGAGGAACTAATTGAAATTACTTCATTTGAAGAGTAATGCAAAGCAGTAGAGAAAAATCACAGTTTCCTAAGTTAGCACTGACAGTGGTTATCCTGGTCTGCTTGAGGCTGCTATAGCAAAATACCACAGACTCGGGGGCTCATAGACCACAGAAATCTATTCCTCACAGTCCTGGAGGCTGGGAAGTCCGGGATCATGGCACCAGCATAGTTTGATGGTGGAGGGGGCAGGGGGCTGTTTTCTGGTTACAGATTGCTGATGTCTCTCTGTGTCCTCCTATGATGGGCAGGAAAGGTGGGCAGGAGCTCTCTGGAGCCTCCTTTCTAAGGACACTGATCCCTTTCAGGAGGTTTCCACCCTCACAACCTAATCACTGCCCAAAGGCCCCACTTCCTGATACCATCAGCTTAGGGGTTAGGATTTGACCTATGAATTTGAGGGGGCAGGGCACACACATTCAGACCATACCAGTGGTTAACATACAATAAGATCTTACACACCAGGCACTTTATATCATTTAATCCTTACAATGCAATATTGTTTACTTACTGTTAATGTTCCTGATTTGAAGATCAATAAGTTGAGGCCTTGAAAGATGAATTAACTGCTTATGGTCACTCAGTCAGTACTTGATGCAGCCAGGGCTCCAACCCAGACATTCTTGGGGGGGAGCGGAGCCCCTAGCTCTGTACCATTGGTACAGACGATGCCATTGACTGTCATTACCTTCTCACGGTAAGGTTAACAGGGACCTAGAAGGAGGGACTTTGGCTGCCTTTTCCTGTTGAACAAGTGTTTGTTGAGCACCTGTCATGTGCCAGGCTCTCCTCTGGGCACTAGGGATGGAGATGAAAACATGGTTTCTGTCCTCAGAGACCTCACAGTAGAGACAAGGAGCCACATGTTTGAAAACGTATCACAGTGTCATGCTAGAAATGGTGGGCAGGTTTGGGGGTGCCTGGGTGGCTCAGTCAGTTGAGGGTCAGACTGGGTCTCAGCTCAGGTCTTGATCTCAGGGTTGTGAGTTCAAGCCCCACATTGAGCTCCATGCTAGGTGTGGAGCCAACTTAAAAAAAAAAAAAAGAAAAAAAGAAATGGTAGGCATGTTTCTCTTTCTTTTTTTTCTTTTAAGATTTTATTTGTTTGACAGAGAGAGAGCACAACAGGGGGAGAGGCAGAGGCAGAGGGAGAAGCAGGCTTCCCACTGAGCAGGGAGCCCGACATGGGGCTCGATCCCAGGGATCATGATCTGAGCCAAAGGCAGACCCATTAGGCATGTTTTTCATAGGAAATGCCAAGTTAGCAGGTTTTTAAAAACAGGCCAGGATGAGCTCAGAGAAGGTGTCTGGGAGGAGCTGACTTGCAAAGGGAAGTCTGAAGAATGAAAAGGAATTCATGGGACCTCTAAGTAGGGGGTGAGTATCCCCTGGAGAGGAAGCAGCACGTGAAGACAGAGACACGTGGGCAGCATGATTGTGTTGGAACAAATATACGTAGCTTGATCTCTGTGGTATTGTCACTCTGTGTCTAAAATTATGCCATTCCTCCATTGTGGATAGAAATGCAAATGGACAGTTATATCCATTCTCGATGCATAAGACTCCAGTGGGGCTCCTGTGGGAGAGGGGGGATGGTTGTACCAACACCAACAGATGGCTGAGTGGGCCATCTGTCTTCCCAGGGACTCTGACTAGCTGCCTCTCACTTAGCCTTCAGGTAAGTCATTGGCTGATAAATATATGACCGCCAGTCATCACTCAGGCCAACTGGTAGCTTCTTGCAGGGAAGCTTCTAATAGGGCTTCCAAGGAATGCTATAGGGCACATATGCCCCTTACCTTTGAATATAGATAGTTAATGGGAGAATTTGCAGTGTTCATTGGGTCCCATAGAGAAATTCTGCAGTCCTGATTGTGTCTTCTATTCATTTATTCTGTTTCTCACCCTGAGCACCTGTCATGTACATGGCAGATTAGCCTTGGATGCTAATCGCCTTCAGGTCTAAACTCATCCATTCAGCTCCACCAGGCTTAGCCACCCTCACCTTAAACTTGGTGCATCCAGTCCCAAACCCCTCATCTTTCTCCAGCGTGCCTTTCCTCTTGTATCCCCTGTACTGGAGACATCACCACCAACCCAGGAACCTCAGTGTCCCCTTCTGCTTCTTCCACTTCATTTCCCCCCTTATCTAAGATCTCTTTTCCTAAAATCCCTCTAGATTCAGCTTCCTTGCTGCTCTTCCTCAGACATTATCTCAGATCAGATCCTCATTTCACATTCCCCTGGTCTCATCTTCTACATGACGTGTGAGCCTCCGTTCCCCTTATCTGTCCACTGTCCCATCACTCACCCATCCACTCGGTCCATTTACTGAACTCCTGCATTCCAGGCACAGAGGTGGATTATGAGGTGATACATTTGAACATGACTGGCATCATCCTTGACCTCCCCGAGCTCACAGTCATGTGGGGATCTAGACAGGTCAACAAACAAGCAAAACCTAAAGGTGGGCACATGGTACTGAGATGACTCTCTGTTAGGAAGGGCCCCTGAGCCAGGCGTGGGTAGTCAGGGAGGGACTCTAGGAGAAAACGATGGCAGATCTCAGAACTGAAGGCTTGAATAAGAGATAAATCCTGGCTGCGGAGTGTGAAGGGTAGGAGAAGAGGGGCCAGATCATGAGATTTGTGAGGTCAGCAGTGGTTACCTTACTTGTCCCCAGCATCCTGCTCATCTCCCAGCAGGTAATAGGTGCTCAGTAAGTATTTATCAAATGAGCAAATGCAAGGTTTCTTACAGAGCAAAACGAAGATGCAAAGTCTCAGGTGAAGAGAGGGGATGGGAAACTGAGAGAGGGTCTGTGTATCTAGAACAGGTCTGGGGAGGGTCTCAGGAGACCAGGAGCTAAGAGATGGGTCGCATTGCTCCCCACTCCTCGCTGGTGAAGTAGGTACTGTTTACTTGGGTTTCACTGCTTCCTGCACTCTCTCCTCTCTCCTCCTCTGCTCTGACCCTCGAGTCCCAGCTAACCACTTCTCCCCACACGCTCCCGGCATGCCCTGGGCTCTGGCTGTAGTCTCCTGTTTCTTTCCTTGGAGGGTGTCCCCTCTCCCTTTGCTTCCCATCACATTCCTTTATCTTTTAGGGCACAGCTTCCCCAGCTCTTCGACGTCCTCCTGACCCAGTCAGAATTAGCCTTTTTTTTTTTCTTTACTCCCAAAGAACGTTATGTTGTGTTGTGGTTGTTAGCAATGTTATGACCCACCTTGTGTTTATATTACATTGTGGATCCTCTGTCCCTCTGAGGATTGTGAGCTCCTTGAGGTCATGGGAACCAGGTCATTTTCATCTTTAGATTTCCCAAAGGTTCTCATTTGTGGTAATACAGTTGATGCTATTATTTCTGCTAGCTCTGTAGTATTTATGATAGTAGAAGGCATATCTGCTGTTTATGGTCCTGTGTTTATTTTTGATATGCATTATGTATTACACTTATCTAATTGACATAGTAGCCTGATAAGAAGATTTTTCTGAACATTTTACAGAACGAAGCGGCAGCAGTGTAGAGGGAGAAGTGACATGCCCCAAATCCCCACTAATAAATGCCACACCTGGGATTTGAATCCATTTCCATTTGACTCCAGAAGCTTTGCCCTTGTGTGATGCTGCTTTGTATTTTAGGGGCTCCCCCAGTGATGGCTGGTTGAGGGCAACAAATAAAAGCTGTAGGAATATTAAAAGTGAGGGTAAGCTGGTATTCAGTGATGGGGGTTCCCCATGATGCCATCTTGGGTGCCTGAGTTTCTTTTGGGAGAAGAACAAACAGAAAACAGAACTCCGTACCATGCAGTGGGAGAAGTATCTTGTCTGTTGCATTCAGCTGGTCTGAAGACTTTATTCTCTGTCCATCTGCTCCTGAAGCTAATGCCCATATGTCTAGGTGGTAGAAATAAAGGTTGGCCAAATTGTTGCATAGGCTCTGCTTAAGGTTTTTAGAGACACAAAATACGCTAGCAACAGGCATGGCGGTTGGCTTGAATGGAGTGTTACCAACGGTAACAATGACCCTGTCTGAAATCCTAAGGTGGGGTGAGGTGTCTCCTCTCCTTTGCAGCTCTGGCGTCCTGGTTACCAGCAAGCATTGGGTTGGTAATGCACCTGATTTCCTTTCCTAGCTGCTGTTAGAAACTGACCACATGTTACAAATTGGTAAGAATGTAGATTTGTGGCTGGAACTCCTTTCCTTGTCCCTCCTGACTCCTCTTCCCCCCACTTCTCACAGGCGGAACCCCCTGCACTTCCACCTCGTCGCCGACTCCATCGCGGAGCAGATCCTGGCGACGCTCTTCCAGACCTGGATGGTTCCCGCCGTGCGTGTGGACTTCTACAATGCAGATGAGCTCAAGGTATGGGCGGCGGGAGAGAGAGGTGTCTCCCTGAGCTCCTCGCGCTGGACACTTTTCTTGCCTGTGGTCTTGTAGACTGGCAGTGGCAGAAATCTCAGCTTTCAACTGGGAATGTCCAGGGTGTAACTGAGGCTGTTTGCCATCCAGATCTGATTTTACTATGGAAAGCATCAAAGGGGCCACGTTGTCCACACAGAATGCATGCTGGTCTGGGCAGTTCTGGCCACCAAGGCTTTCTTTAGAGGGGGAGGCCATTGGCCTGGTATGCATCTGACAAAGGTCTGTGATGGCTCTTCTAGAGAATTCTGCTACCCAGCGAGCTCAGTGCTGAATTCAGAGTCAGATGGGGCTGGGTCTTAATTTGTTATGTTGTCATTTACTCGTCATAAGATACAAAGTAAATAATCTGTACCTTTGCTATGTCTGTTTTCTCATCAGTAAAGAGGTGATTATCGGGTGCCTGGGTGGCTCAGTCGGTTGGGCGTCTGCCTTCGGCCCAGGTCGTGATCCCAGGGTCCTGGGATCAAGTCCCACATCCGGCTCCCTGCTCAGCAGGGAGTCTGCTTCTCCCTCCGACCTTCCTCCTTCTCATGCTCTCTACCATTCTCTCTCTCTCTCTCTCTCTCAATAAATAAATAAAAATCTTTAAAAAATTTAAGAAAAATAAAAAAAATAAAGTGATTATCATACCAACCTCATTGGATAATGAACCGGCAAAAGTGAGAGAATAGATGTGAATGTGCTTTAAAAGATTATGCTGAATAAATATTAAAGGTTGTGTTGGAGCAGAAGGTTTCACTGAACGAGACACATTTGTGTCATGTCATTTCCTAGCTTAAAATCCATCCATAGTGCCACATGGCCTGGATCAGGATTGAGATTCACGGTCTCAAGAAGTCCTGCTTCTGGTTCTTGACTCTTCTTCCCATCTCATCTGGGTCCTTCCTGGAATTTCAGCCTGTTACTCAGCCCTAGGAAACCATCTCTGGTCTCTGCTTACTCTCCTCCGTTTGAGCCTTTGCTTATGCTGTTCCTTCTAGCTGACATACCCTTCCACCTACCTTGTTACAACTCCTATTCACCCTGCAGGACTCTGCTTTGTCGACACTTCCTCCAAGAACCTTCCCTGACTTCTCCAGGAAAGAGGAGATCTTTGTCTGTCTACTGCTTTAGTTTAGAACCTTCTTTAATAGGGGAGGGGGCAGGGAGCACGTCTCACTCTTTCCTCATTTCTGGTGCATAGTTGGTACCCTGTAATGCTTGTGGATTTAACAAATGGCTGTTGTTAGAGGAACATGTAACTTTGCAGAAATATTTTGATGCTCTGTCTCCAATCACCTTGGGAAGGACTAAACACCTAGGCATGATTCTAGCAGATTGCTTGTTCCAAACCTCATAAAGCCATTATCTTTTCATTTCAGAGCCATAACATTGTAAGTAGATCACAGAGATGCCGGCCGGAGTTTCTGATTTTCCCGTATTTTAGACTCTGAGGTTGATCGAGATGTTCAGAATTTAGCATTTGGGGATTGTCGTGGTAATTTGTGTGCCATTCCAGTCTATTCTGAGCTAAAATTGATTAACACTCCTAAAAGGGAAAAACAAAATTTAGCAAATTGCTACGCTAATTAAGGTGAAAGCAAGCCTCTCTGTCTCCCAGGGTCTCAGCACCAACACAGTGGGGAGAAGCAACGGGAGGGGAGGCACAGCGCCCGGCATGCAGGATGCTTCTGCATCCTTCATCACTCTCCTTTTTTGGGCAATCCTGTGTCCTGCCCCTTGCACGCCTGTACCCCCTAGTTTTTTAAGAAAACACAAAAGTGGTTCAACAGAACCCCAAGTTCACATCCTGGCTTGCCTTTGAAGAACCATCTGATTTAGGTTTTGAGCCCTGGCTCCATCAGGGGTTTAATGGGTGGCACGCTGACAGCCACCAAGGCAGGGACTAAACAAGCTAACTCCTGTGAAGGCCCAGCAGTGTCTGAAATGCAGCAGGTCTTTGAAAATGCCCTACTCCCCTTTGCAGCCAAGGCAGCATAGGATTAAAATGCTCTTGCGGCACCTGGGTGGCTCAGTTGGTTAAGTGTCTGCCTTTGGCTCAGGTTGTGACCTTGGGGTCCTAGGATAGAGCCCTGCATTGCATCAGGCTCTCCGCTCAGTGGGGAGCCTGCTTCTCCCACTCCCTCTACCCCTGCTTGTGCGCACGCTCTCTCTCTATCTCAAATAAATAAAACCTTAAAAAAAAAAATGATCTTGAAATCCACTGGTGGTGGGAGACTGAAGGAGTAAGGCACATAGGACTGTAATCTGCTCCTGGGAGGCCTGGGGTTTCCCTGAGGTTGAGGTCTTAGACAACGTGGGGGGTGGAGGGACTGGTGCTCTGACTCTCGCGTGCCCACTTTCATCCAGGAAGACCAGCTGTTCATTATTTTACATCCTGGACTTTTATCTATTCACATTGGAGATTCCATGGCTTAAAAAAATAAGGAAAATACAATCAGCTGTGTTCTGAAGGCTTTGTCTCCAGTGTCCAGTCCTCTAGAGTGACCTTTGCTACTGACCACCCCACTCAAGGTCCCAAACACCTGCATTTTCTTTCCCTACCAGTGAGACACCCGTGTCCCACCATCCTGAGTCCCTTGAGACTCTTGTCGGAATCCTGTAAGGACAATGAGTATGAAAGCATTTTGTAAACACGATGTTGCCATACTTGGTGGTCACAGTGGTGATGATATATACAGAATCCAACTCTGCAAACCCCGAACCACGATCTGCTCGGTCCCTGCAGCTGGAGCCTCTCTGGCTGTAGCAGTGCCATCTGCCTACTCAGCTGCTCCTCCAGAAGCAAGAGTTCATCTCTGACGGCCCCCTGCCCCTGTCCCCACGTCCTGGCTGCCCTCCATCTCCCCCACCACCATCCTTCTCTAAGCATTTGTGACCTCTCGCCAACACAACAGTTTCTGTCCAGATGAGTCTTCTCCCCTCTGCTCACTCCTCCCTCAGATGGGTTCTCCACCGGCAGGATGAGTTGGCTTTCCCAAAGCATGCCCAACCATGCCATCCACTTTCGCGTGCATAAAACCCTCCGTGGTTTCCCCATGCTCCCATTAGAGACCACAGCCCTGAATGGCATTTTCTTGCGCTTTCTGGCTCCTGCCTCCCTCGGCTTCATCTCAGGCCCGTGTGTACCATTGCTCACGCACTAGATCCTCACATCTGCTTTGCCCCGCCCCTCCCCACCAGGGGGCCACTGCAGAGGTTATTCCTCTGTCGCTTAAACTCTGTTCCCCAGTCGGCCTCCTCTTCCCCATTGCTAGTTAATTCCGTGTTCTTCTGGTTAAGCTACATTAACTCTGAGAAACCTTCCCTGCGCTCGTTATCTCATAGGGGATCCTTTGTTGTATGTTCTCATAGGATCACATACCTTTCCTCGGTAACCTCAATGCAGAGGGTGATCTTTTCATGCCTTTGTGGAATATGCTGCTAAATGTCCTTCCCTCCCCTAGATAGTTGGCTCCAAAAGGGCCGAGACAGGTCTGCTTTTCATCACCCCTGTATCTTTAATGTCTAGTGTGATGCCTCACCTGTGAAAATATTTGCAACATGATGATCGACAATAAAACTCAGAGCTGGGTCCCTAAGAGTAGTAAAGCCATTAGGAAGGGGTTTCTTGATCACCATCAGGCCTCACCACGTTCCAGAGGCCTGTTGTGCCTCGGGGCATGGGCGGACAGCCAGGTAGCTGTCTACCAGTGACCCTGCAGGGGCATGAATACGGCAACTCCATCTGTGCTACCCTGTGGAACGTCCCAGGAGCAGCCCTGGGACAGGTGAGTGTCTTTCCATGAGCGCATTAAAACACCATCCATTTGCTGATGTTAGCAAGGAGGAAGCGCAGGAGAGGAAGGGACTCGTGCTGGGTTGTGCGGTTGCGTTCAGCAAGCGTGTCCGATGGCACCCTCGGCAGATACACATGAGGGCCTCCCCCAATCGGGCGTCGAGAAATCACTTTGTACAGCTGTTGGAAATGGCATTTCTCAGAAACAATCCTGTGGGCTCCTTGTTATATCTGTTAGTGCTGGAGAATGGACTAAGAGGGAAGAGGAAATTTATGAGGGGTTGGTGCATGATTAAAAATGAACTGTGGGAAGTCCACGGTGGACTGCTATGCTGCTCTCGGTAATGACCAATTAGTGTAGATTTGCAAATAGCGATTGCTCAGCTTGCTGGTCTCTGTGGCCTGTGAAAGGCTCACTGGTCTTCCTGATGTTTATGGGGCCCATTCATTTCCAGCCTCAAGTCCCCATATCAACAGGCTGCCAGGACCGAGCAGGTCTTTGCGCCCCCAACTCTGCTCAAGACATGTAGTTCCTGCCAACAGAGGAGAGAGGCACAGGAGGGGGGACTTCTTTCTGTGGGGAGCATTGTAGATGGTGGCATGCCGCCACTCGCTCATTACGACAGCCCTCTGGGATGGGCTGAGAAGTTTTATGACCTCCATCTCACGGATAATTTATAAATTGAAGCATGGAGTATTTGCCTAAGATCAGGTAGCTAATAAATGCCAATGCTGCTGTTTAACTTTTCCCTCTCCAAATGAAAGGCTGTGAGATATGGGATTGTATAATTCAGGAGCCACGGGTGTGGAGCAGGTCTGGAGGGAAGGAGAGAGCATGGGCTGTGGCCACTGTGGGATGAAACGGCCACTGTTGAGTTGGGCTTGAACTCAGAATTCCTGCTTTCAGGGCCTCTGGACCCCATTTGGCTGCTGCGTAACATTGTTATTTATGGGGCACTTTGTTTCTTGTGTTTTATGTGCTACTTTTATAGAATGCTCACAAGTCTGTGGAGCAGGTCTATTATTAATAACCCCCACTCTGCAGGTAAGGAGCCTGAGGCGTAGGGAGGTTACTTAGGCCCAAGTCATGTATATAACTGCTACACGGCAGGGCCAGGATTAAAACCCAGAGCTACCTGACTTCATAATCCATGCTCTCTTA